CTCTCAAGGATCGACGAAGGGTGTGCCCCGATATTTGATCCAAGTGGCTTACGCCATTCCGCCGACCCCCAGCGGAGTAGAGCCGTCCAGGGCGTTCGGTCGACTATGTTGGGTCTGGCGTGGCTGGATGTTTTCCCAGCCATCCTGCGGTGTGGGGTCCTCGTTTTGAGGGGACAGTGCTCCGCGTCCTTCTCCTCCTCCTCCTCCTCCTCTTCCTCCTCTGTCCAGTGCTTCCCCCCTTCTCCCCCTCCTTACTTTTGCTTTCCGCATCAGTCGACCATGTCGGCACACCCATCACACGTTTCGTGGATCCATGGGGAGGTAGCATACGACAGCCGCCTCAGGCAGCAAACGTTCCGATGACAAGCAATAGTACAACAACCGCTGCCACCACTGCGGCGACATCGCCGTACGGAGGCTCTGTGGTGATCATGAAGTCTGGCGAACGCACCAGCGAGAGCATCACTAGTCAAAGGCAGAAGAGGGTCTGCTTGAAGCAACCAGATCGAAAAAGCAACTCTGACCCATCCTGCTTCTAAAACATGATATACGAGATATTCTAGACGCTTCGCATAACCCCTCCAGCCCATCCAGAAAAATTGCCCGGACGAGTTACCCTGATCAGGAAAGGAAAGGAAAAGGAGGGCGATACGCCCTAAGGCGCGTCCGCGCGGCTCAGGCGATCACGAAAGACTTGTCGATCTCGAGCAGCGTGTGGATGTACTTAGTCGTTTTGCCCATTCTAACCGGGTTGCCCTGGTATTCCGAACGTGCACGTCGTTCATCGGCGTCAGGGTTTTGGGTACAATGCAGAACCACGCAGTGGACACTGTCCGCCGCCCAGGGCAGCCTTGCAAAACAGATCCTGTTGGTGCTTGAGCAAAGTGTCGTTGATGGGGCACTGCCGTGTTATCCAGCGCACCTCGTCATCTGATGCGCGGGATGACATAGAGTGCTTGGTCCGACTGATAGACTTCAGCATCTGTGCTTGGGCAAAATTCTAGCGTCTACGCCCTGCAGCGTTCAGGCAGATGGTGCTGAGGCTGTACAGCATCTTCGGCACCACAACGGCGTTGAACAGCTCCACTTTCCTGTCTAAAGAAATCGAAGTGTGGCCCCAGGCCTGCTTCAGGTTTCTGAAAGTAGCGAAGGCCGTGCCAGTTCGGGGACGTCTTGGGGACATCTTGGAGGCATCGTGGGGGCCTCTTGGGGCCTCCTTGGCACGTCTTGGGGCCATCCTGGGGTCACTATGGACGAGATCGATCAAAGCAGGGGGGCTCCTTACTTGGGATCCCCTCAGGAAGCCAAAACGTGGCGAAACATACAATCACGGAGTTTGGCCTTCTCGCCGATGCCCCTTGGGGCGTCTTGGGTGTTTGTTGGGGCCCTCTTGAGGCGATCTTGGGAGCCTCTTGCGGGCATCTTGGGGCCTCCTGGGTACCTCTTGCCCTTAGGGGCTTGGGGGGGCCATTTGTGGGCTATCTTGGGGGAGATCGACTCATGCGGGGGCCGTGGTACATTAGGGTCCCCCAGGAGGCCAAACTGTAGCCAACGCCTTCGTAACATCATTTGTTTTTTGTCCTTCTCGCCGAGGCCTCTTGGAGCGTCTTGGGTGCCTCTGGGAGGCCTCATGAGGCGTCTTGGGGATCTCCTGGGAGCCTCTTGGGGGCCTCTTGGGGCCTCCTGGGCACCTCTTGGGGTCCTGTTGGGGCATCCTTGAGAGCCTCGGTGTCCATTTGTTGTCCATCTTGGAGGTTATCGATCAAAGAAGGGGGATGTTCGAAGTAGGGTCCCCCCCAGAAGGTCAAACTGTGGCCAACACCTTCGTACAACACAATGGTTTTGGCTTCCTCGCCGAGGCCAGCCTGGATGCTCGAAACCCTCGCGGAAGGCCCCGTCCATGTCCAGGGGTATGGGGGTACGGGGAGAGGTCAAGACACCCTCCTAGATAGCAAGCCGTCTAGCTCACTCCCACCCGCCCTCCCAACACAGAAGTAACACCCGAGCCTCAGCATGGTCAGCGCTCGTCTTTGGATAGACAGCTGCTGGGAACCAATTCCGACTCCATGTGCACGACGCTGGGCCGAGGTGCACCACGCGTGCCAGGCGCGCCATGCGCGCCAGGCACCCCCGGGGCCCGAGCGTGCCAGGCACGCCTGGTGCGCCAGGTGCGTCAGGTGCTCCATGTGCGCCAGGTGTGCCGCATACTTCAGCTGCGCCAGGTGCGCCACGTTCGGGGCACGTGCAGAGTGTGTCAGGTGCGCCTGCGCACGTGACAGCACACATCGGGAAAGATGTCGCCCCCCACCATCCGTGTCGAAAGCCAATGCCCATCATTGAGCCTTGTGGGCCTGCGCACAGCAGGCCATACGCCACCATCCCCGCCGTCCCTGTCAATAGCCACTTGATGGTGATCGCGGGGTGGCCGCGCATGATCCAGATTTAGCCGCGAGGTGCACTTCGTATTATTTTTTGACAGGGCTGGTGGCCCTGCGCACAGCAGCACCCCCGTCGTCCCTGTCAACGCACAAAACAACGTGCTCGCGGGCCTCACCAACATGACTCAAGACTTTGCCCCAAAGTGTGCTTTGCATTGTTCTTTGGCAAGGATGGTGGGGGGGGGGGGGGCCGCATCGGGTTGGTTGCGCATGCTCCTTGGGAGGCAGAGTGCGTTTTGAATTGTTTTTCGACATGGATGGTTGGAGGGATGATCATAGGGTCGGCATTGTTCCTGGTTGGCTGCCGGTCGCCTGGGGAGGGGGTGTTTACCCATAGAGAACAATGATCAATGCCTTCCCGAAGGGGAAGAAGGGGGGTGGAAGAGGAAGCGCTCTAAACTACTCACGCCCTCAAGGGCCGGTTGGACTTTTCGCTCCTCCCCCTGAATGCGGTGACGTCAGCCCGGCCAGCCACTATACAGCGCTTCCGTTGCGATGATAGCCCCCTGGAGGGGCAGCGAATGTTTAGACGTTAACGCGGTCGGCCACTGTAGGGCACTTCCGTTGCGATGATAGCCCCCTTGCAGCGAATCGTTCGGTGTCCGCCTCCATCCTTTCCTTCTCCAGAAACAAGGCGACACTGTGCGAGATACTGTTGCTCAAGCGAGCGCCACATCAGGGGAGAGAGGAGAGTACTGTTCATACCGTGTAAGTCCAGAGGATGAGAATGGCGAGGAGGAGCAGGAGGGAGGGAACGGGCAGGGGGAGGAGGAGAACACGAGGAAGGAAGAGGAGGGGAGCAGGATGGGTAGTGCAGGGAGGAGGACGGAGGAGGTGGAGGGAGGCGGCGAAAGGGAGGAGGGAGGAGGGATCACGGGGGAAGCATGATACATTATACGTTGTGTGTGCGTGTGTGCCCATCCCGCCACCGTTCCCGGGCTGTGGGTCAGAAGTCCCCTCAGGGATGCTCCTCGGGGTATCTTCGGGGCGCTCTCGGGGGCCTCCAGTGGGCAGCGTTGGGGCCTCTTGGGGGCCTCTTGGGGGCCTCTTGGGAGCCTCGTGGGGGCCTCTTGGGGATTCCTGGGGGCCTCCTTCTGGAGCCGTCTTTGGGGCCTCTTGGGGGCCTCTTGGGGGACTCGGGGCCTCCTGGGGACCGCTCGGTGCCGAGGGCTCGAAATGTTCGTTCAGGTCCCCCGTCTGGGCCTGCTTTTGGGGTCGTCTTTGGCCGTCTTGGAGGCCACTTGGGCGGTTTTGGGGCCCTCTTTGGCCGTTTTGGGGCCCTCTTGGAGGCCTCTTGGGCCGTCTTGGGGCGATCTTGGGGGCCTCTTGGACCGTCTTGGAGCGTCGGGAATCCGAAAAGGCGAGAACGCCAAAATCCTTTGAAAACCTATTGTGGATTAACGCATTTTGGCTCTTGGGGCCCTCCTGGGAGGCCTCTTGGAGGTCCCATGCGGCGTCTCGAAGGCTTCTTACGCAGTCTTGGAGCCATCTTGGGCGTCTTGGGGCGATCGTTTGGCGATTCGGAGTCCTCTTGGAGCCTCCTGGGGGCCTCCTAGAGCCCAGAGGCCCGTTTTGGGGCCCCTTGGATCCGAAAAGTCATGCGGGAACAAACGCGCCGCGGAGGCCAGATGGCAGCAATTTGGCAATTTGGCAATTTGGGGCCCGGGCCCTTAAAAGCAACCTCAGGAATGGAGAATGGGGCTCAGGGGATCGAGGAAGGGACCTGGGGATACTCCACTCCAGCACGGTGGTGGATATGAGTGTGTACTTATGTTCAATGTGGACGTGCTGAATCTGCAAAATAGTATTCAATTGCACACATGTTGTTTACCTTGGGAGAGAGAGAGGGAATAAGAGAGAGAGGGAACGAGAAATAGAGAGAGAGAGAGAGGGAACGAGAAAGAGAGAGAGAGAGAGAGAGAGAAGGAAACAGAGAGAGAGAGAGAGAGAGAAACAAAAAGAGGGCATGCGCTTCTCCCCTCGCTCCTGCCGCAGGCAGCGGGCTCCTCTCGCGCTCGGCGCCAGGCCATGAGCGCCCGCGGCCCGCCGGGGCCCGCGGACGAGGACGACGTGCCGGCTGTGCTCGAGGAGCCGCGCCTCTCGGCCCCCTCCCGGGCCGCCGGCGAGCCCGGCGCCAGCGCCAGGGCGCCGCGGACCGGGGCGCCGCGTGCACCCCCCTCGGCCTCGCGGCCTCTGGAGGGGTGCGCGCCCGACGCCGCCCCCCCGCCCGCTGGAGCGCGCCCCGCGGAGGACCCGCCGCTGCTGCTCGCGGGCCGGGCCCGGCCTCCGGGCGGCTGGGCGCCCGACGCGGACCCGCCGCCCGCGGGCGCGCGCCCCACGGAGGACCCGGTGCTGCTGCTGGCGGGCCGGGCGCGGCCGCAGGAGCAGCCGCCCTGGCCGGCGGCGCCCCGGCGGCACCACGAGCCGGGCCCGCTGGCGCGCGGCGCTGCACAGCCGCCGCCTCTGGTCGGCGAGGCGGCGGCGGAGCGGGAGCTGGGCGCCTGCTGCCCGTCGCTGCCCTGCGAGCACGAGCTGCGGGAGCGCTGCCCGCGGAGTGTGCGTGGGCGGGTGCGCACCCAGCCTGCGCGCCAGGACGACGAGCGCCACGCCGCGTTCTTCGCAGCCGAGCCGCCGGTCGGGGGCGACGAGGCCGAAGCGGCCCAGGAGCGCACCGAGCTGAGGGCCAGGTGTCAGGCGCTCGAGTGCGAAAGGAGGGCGCACCTCCAGCTGATCTCGAGGGAGAGAAATCGGCATTAGCATACCTTTTCGGAGCTCCGTGCGGATTTCTTTGATCGGCACTGGAGCACCCTCCTTGGCGCGCGGAGCGCGCCAGTGGCGGCTCTGGAGGCTCCGCCAGGGGGGCCCAGCGCCCATCCAAGCAATCCGGGCGTACCTCCGAAAGGTTACGCTCATGCAGTCTTTTTTCCTCTATGATCGACGAGCTCCAGGCTGGGCTCCCGCCCGACGTCGGCGGCGTCGGGGCGCTCGATGAGCTCTTGCGCCTCCGCGCGCGGTGCTCCGGCCTGGAGGAGGAGAAGCTCGCGCTGGGCGCGCAGGTGGAGCAGCTGCAGGCGCTTTGCAGCATGTTTGACGAGGATCAGCGCACAAACATACAAACATTATGAGTACTCGTCTATGTATGTATGTATGTATGTATGTATGTATGTATGTATGTATGTATGGAATTATGCATGTACATATGCCTGTCCGTTTGTCCTCTGTCTGTATGTATGCATGGATCGATGGATTGATGGATGGATGGCTGTATGGATGCATGCATACATGCATGCGGGCGGATATACATACGTGTATGAACGTATGCATGTATGCATGCGTGCACGTATGCATGCATGTCTATATCAATCTATGTTTGCCTGTATGTATGCATGTATGCATACATGCATGCACCTATGTACGCATGCACGCATGTACGTATGTATGTACGCATGCATATATACATACATGCATGCGCACATGCATATATGTATATGTGCATGTATGCATGTGTATATATATGTATGTGTGTATGTAGACATTGTATTGTAGTGAATTGTATTTGTTATGCATTGTGTGGTATTGTATTGTGTTGTTCTGCGTTGTATTTCATTGCGATGCATTGTGTTAGACTTGTATTGTATTGTTTTGTGTGTTGTTTGTGCTGTATGTATATATAGGTATGTATGTTTTATGTACGCATTGCTGCTCGTATGTTCTTCTGTATGCGTTGTGCATGTATGGTTGCATGTGTGAATGCCTGTATGCATGTATGTAGATACGCAGGTGTTTGTGTATATATGTATGCATGCATGCATGCCAGCATGCATGTATGTATGTATGCATGCATGCCTGTATATAGGTATGTATGTAGACATGCAGGTATCCATGCCTGTATATGTGCATATATATATATATATATATATATATATATAGTTATATACATTTACGTATGTGCACGTATGCATGTATGCATGCATGCATGTATGTAGGCATGGGTGTATCCATGGGTGTATGTACGTTTGTATGTGTGTATGTATGTATGCATGCATGCATGTGTACGTTTCTCCGATTGTATATGGGCATGTATGTATGTATGCATGTGCGTTATGTACGTATATATGTATGCCTGTATGCCTGTATGAATATATATATATATATATATACATATATATATATGTGTGCATGCATGCATGTATACATGTATGTACATCAATCGGTATGTAATTTTGTATATAGATCGATAGGTAGTTCTGGCAGATACGCCGTCGCCGCTGCCGTCGCCGTCGCCGTCGCGGGCGTCGCGGTCGCCGTCGCCGTCGCCGTCGCCGTCGCCGTCGCCGTCGCCGTCGCTGTCGCCGTCGCCGTCGCCGGCGTCGCGGTCGCCAGCGGTGTCGCCGTCGCCGTCGCCGTCGCCGTCGCCGTCGCCGTCGCCGTCGCCGTCGCCAGCGTCGCGGTCGTCGGTCGTCGTCGTCGTCGCTCCCGATTGTGGGGATGGCCCCCCCCCTCCTCTTTCGGGCCCACCCCCCCTCGCTCTGGGGAGGGGAAGCCGAAGGGATGGGGGCAGAGGGAGGGGCCCAGACGGGGGGCGGGGAAGTTTTTAAGGGTGCCCCCCCCGCTCCACCCTGGTTATATGGAGGTGGGTCGACTGTTTCAAGCCAAGCGCCCGTGAAACGTTCTTGCTCATATTTAGGTGTATGCGTATGCTCATACACATGTGTACGTGTAAGTGCATTTCGGCGTTTATGTTTATGCAAACCGTGTGTGTACTCCCCCCCCCATATATATACACATATATATATATATATATGTACACATGTATGCCAGAAATTGTGTATTCACCTGCTCGTGTACATGTACACGTTTACGTATGCTTAATCATTGACATAGGTACATGCTTATGCCCAGGCATTTGTACTTGTATACTTGTGTACATACATGTTTACATACACGTGTATACGCCTATACACATACACACGAAACGCGTGTTTCGGTGCATGCATGTCTGTGTGCATGTACGCACGAGTATGAACGTATTAGTATATGAACGTATGAACACATGAGTATATGAACATATGAGTGTATGAGTATATGAATATACGAAAACATGAAATATTCATATCGGATGCAGGAATATATGAGCATGTGATAATATGAGTACATGAGCATATGAAAACATGATTATACGAATCTACGACTCTATGAATATTTAATCGCTTCGCTCATTCCGCCGGCCCATATTGTCGCACCGTTGTGGGCTAGCCGAGTTTTGGGGCCTCTTGGGGCCTCTTTTGGGCCTCTTGGGCGCCTCTTTTGGGCCTCTTGGGCGCCTCTTGGGGCGTCTTGGGGGCCTCTTGGGGGCCTCTTGGGGCCTTTTTGGGGCCTCCTGGGCGCCTTCTGGGGCGGAGGGCTCGATTTTTCAGTTCTCGGTTCCCCTCTTGAGCCCCTCTTGGGCCCGTCTTGGGGCCTCTTGGTCCGTCTTGGGCGGCACTTGGGCCGTCTTGGGGGCCCTCCTGGGCCGTTCCGGGGCCGTCTTGGGAGCCTCGTGGGCCGTCTTGGAGCGGTCTTGGGGGCCTCTTGGGCCGTCTTGGAGCGTCCGGAAGCCGAAAAAGCCAGAACGCAAAAAACATAGAAAAAAACAATGAAAATCAACGATTTTGGCCTCTTGGGGCCCTCTTCGGAGGCCTCTTGGAAGGCCCTTGGGGCGTCTTGGAGGCCTCTTGGGCTGTCTTGGGGCCCTGTTGGGCGTCTTCGGGCGATCTTTGGCCGTCTCGGGGCCCTCTTGGACCGTCTTGGAGGCTTCTTGGGGACCTCTTGGCCCGTCCTGGGGCCCTGTAACAGAACTCCGGCATCTCTGGCCCGACCTTGCCGGGACCTTGCCGGGGACTTGCCGGGGACTTGCCGGGACCTTGCCGGGGTACTTTTCGTCCGGGGACCCCCAGGGGCCGCCCCGCGCGCGCGAACTAGAACTACTGTTAACCAGGTACCTGAGTACATGAGCATATGAAAACATGATTATACGAATCTACGACTCTATGAATATATTATTGCATGACTATACGAACACATGAGTATCTATACACATATATCTTAATCGAGCGAGCATTCAGCAATCGAATCCGCGTGCATAACATCACACAATAACTCTCCGACGAGGAACAGCACGAGAGCGCGGAGGTGGCCGACCTGCACCAGCGGTGCAGGGTGCTCGAGGCTGAGAAGTTTGAGCTTGCCATGCAGGCTCCATTCCCAGAAATGCTCTCGTCGTGAATAAAAAACACGACGGGGCGGTTTTGGCCGTTTTCGGCCTCCAGGGGCCCTCGCTGGGCCCCCGGACCGAACAAGAACGGTTGGGGATGAAGATTTGGTCCCAGGGTAGAGGTCCAGACCTTGAGGGAGCTACGTTTTGTGAAAAATCATGACTTCGGTGGTTCGATCCGATAGCGATTCGATATCGATTCCAGCCGGCTCTGTCTGGTTCGGTTCCGATGTTCCAGCCATGCGGTGCGGCCCGATGTCTGCATGGCGCTGCCGTGCATCCTGGCGCGGCTGATCCGATCCGACTCCGACCCCGTGCCGATGCGTCCCGATATTTGATGTGCGCCCCGATCTGGCCCGATGTGCCGACTCGATGCTGCCCGCTCCTGCCATTCAGGTTGAGCAGTTCTGGAACATTCGGGTGTTGCCAGAGGTGTCCCTGGCCCAAGGTGCCCTCACGTGGCTCAGAGGGCCTCAGGGGTCCCAATGTGGCGCGAGAAGCTGGGGACTCAGACATCAGACGATGTGATTGGTGCAATGCGGGCAGCTTTTCGTCCCTGATCCGTGTTTGATGGTAGCAGTGTTCGACATCTTGCCCCAGGGGCCAGGATACATCGCTCCAAAGCTTTCTGGAACGCTCTCAGACCGTCCCTGAGCGCTCTGGAACGGTCGCGAGCTCCCGTTGCATCCTCCAGAATCGCCGGATGTCATAGGTCTCCGAATCGTCCTGTCCCGATTTCGTCCCTGTCCTGGCTTCCTCTGAACCCAGGGGCTCCAAGATGGCGCGACAAAGCACGACGGGAGCCCTGAGCCCTATCTCTCGGCGGCGTGTCTCGAGCCCGACCGATCCTGTGGTGGCCCTGGTGCCGGAGCCCGGGCGAAGAAGGTCGGCCGTGCAGCACTGGCAGCGCCTGGATTTCAGGGCTCGGTGCTCGAAGGCGAGGCCCTCTTCCTCCGTCGCTCACCTGTGGGACCTCCCAGCCGCGGCGGCGCGAGCCGTCGCGCTCTGCGCCCGGATCTCAGGGCCGGGCCAGGGTTCTGATGCTCCAACCTGCTGTAGCCCTGATCACCAGAAAGAAGCGCGAGCACCAGACGAGTACCAAAGCTCGGAGGCTTTCACGTGGCGGGCCCTGGGAGACGCTCGTTTCCGACACCCTTCCGACACCGTTTCGCGACACCGTTTTTCGACACCCTTCCGGGCGCTCGACACCACTTCTGGGATGCAGTCCTTCAGTGTGCGATGGGCGCAACATCAGGCCAGGGGCGCCTCGATAGCAACCCCCGGGGCGTGTGCAAGCAGCTGGAGGCCGAGCGCGGCCCGGGCCTCGGGGCGGAGGCCCTCGGCCGCCGCTGCGCCGAGCTGGAGGCGGAGCGCGAGGCCCTGCGGCTGCAGGTGGGGCAGCTCGCGGCCAGCTGCGACGCGCTCGAGGCTGTGCAGGCGGTCAGGGGCAACGCCAGGGGGGACGCTCGAGGCTCGAGGCTCGAGGCTCGGGGAGGAGCAGGAGGAGGAGGAGGAGGAGGAGGAGGAGGAGGAGGAGGAGGAGGAGGAGGAGGAGGAGGAGGAGGAGGAGGAGGAGGAGGAGGAGGAGGAGGAGGCTCTGGGGCGTCCTCGCGGGGTCTCGGCGGCTCTCCAGCCTCCGGACGCGCTCCCGCGGGTGCGCCCCGTCGAGGGCGTTCCGGGGTGCCCGGATCGTCCCGAGCGGCCGCCAGAGGCCCGAGTTATGACCCGAGTGCCGACGCCCAGAGCCCCTCGCGTTGGGGAAAAACGCGACGGGAGGTCTTCTGCAATTTTCGGTCTCTGGGGGCCCTCGCGGGGCCCTGATACCGTCAAGAGATGACTCGGGATGCAAACGGGCCCCAGGGACCCGTGTTTTCAAAATCAAGACATCGGATGTCTGGGCCAGTGCCTGGGCCTTCTGTAGTTTGCGCCTCTCTGGGCCTCCGTGGGTTCCCTCGTCGCCACGACTGGATTCGCCTCGAACTCCTGGTCTCATCGCAACCCAGAAGGGGCCCAGGGAGTAGCGGCATGGGTCCTTTTCCCAGACATTCGACGTCTTGATTTTTTCAATACGGGGTCCCTGGAAGTCCCAACCCTTTCCTTGGGACCGGTTTTTCGTCCTGAATCGTTTTTTGACGCTCCCGAAGCCCGGCGAGGGCCCCCCGAGGCCGAAAATGGCCACCAACCTCCCGTCTTGTTTTTTTTTACGACGCGATGATGTCTGGGTTGGTTTCCTCGTGAGGCGAGCGGGTCTTGAGGAGACGGAGCCCACGGAGGCCCATCCCCAGCTTTTTCGGGCCCTAGGCGGCCCTCCCCGGGCCGAGGGGCCGTCGGCGCTGGTCCTGCCCAGAGCACCGTATATACTGGAACTTCCAGTCGCGATTGGCAGCGACCGATCGGCAATCCAACTCCGTCGCGATCGATCGCGACCTATTTCAAAATCGATCGCGACCTGTCGCGACCGATCGCGCCCTGTTTCAAAATCGATCGCGATCTGTCGCGACCGATCGGGGCCGATCGGTCGCGACCGATCGGTCGCGAGCGATGCTGAAGCACATCGGTCGCGACCGATGCCGGAGTCGGAGGCAACATCGGTAGCGGCCGATCTCGGCGGTCGCGACCAGAATCTTTTCGGCATTCAGTGATGGCGGCGGGGGGAGGCAGAAACACAAAGAAAGGTTTGTTCATGAACATGTGTGAGATTAGGGGAAATGTCGAGGAAGAGGGAAATGCGGGAAACATGGAACAATATGGGACATCCTGGAATTTGTGTCGATCTGTTTGCGTCTCCCTGGGCCCCTCTACAAAGGTAGGGCAGCTGCGCGCGCTGGCCGACGGGCTCGGCGGCCACGACCGCCAGGGGGAGCTGGAGGAGCCTCTGGTGCAGTCGCAGGGGGGTCGGTTTGGGGATCGCTCCTCCTCGCTCCTCCTCCTCCTTTTCCTCCTCCTCCTCCTCCTCCTCCTGCTCCTCCTCCTCCTTTTCCTCCTCCTCCTCCTCCTCCTCCTCCTCCTCCTCCTCCTCCTCCTCCTCCCCCTCCTCCTCCTCCTCCTCCTCGCTCCTCCTCCTCCTTTTCCTCCTCCTCCTCGCTCCTCCTCCTCCTCCTCCTCCTTTTCCTCCTCCCCCTGCGCCCGCTGCTTTTTTTTATGGCTTTCTCCTTTTCCTGGTCCCTCTTCCCCTCCTGCTCCTCCTCTCCTCCTCCACTCCTCCTCCTCTCCTCACACCTCCACTCCTGCTCCTCCTCTCCTCTCCTCTCCTCTCCTCTCCTCTCCTCCTCCTCTCCTCTCCTCCACTCCTCCTGCTCCTCCTCTCCTCTCCTCTCCTCCTCTCCTCTCCTCTCCTCCTCCTCTTCTCCTCCTCTCCTCTCCTCCACTCCTCTCCTCTCCTCACGCCTCTCCTCGCCTCTCGTCTCTCGCCGCTCCTCCTCCTCCTCCGCTTCCTTTCGAGGTCCTCTGGAGTCGAGGTGGACGGCGCTTGTTGACTATGAGCAACGCTGGCGCAAGTGAAGCACATGCTGGAGGACCTCAGCCAAGCGGCCGCTAAAGCTCGGCTAGCGCTTCATAGCGGGAAGACGCATACGTTTTTTTTCTAACGTGCAAGGCCGCAAGGGTGTCATATAGTCGCACGTGAGGGTGGGGGCGGGAAATCCTGAGTCTCTCCCACTTGAGTCTGACGCTGCACGCTTTGGGCGTTCTGTGTGCTTCGGATAATTGCACGGCGCCGAATCCCTGAGCGGCTGTTGGACAATGACATCAGAGGGAGAGAAAGAGAGAAAGAGAGAGAGAGAGAGCTTCGGTTGCAAAGCAAACGACGGATGCTTAAGAAAATCGCCCAACGGCCGAGACAATGCTTGAGGCATCCCAGCGACACAGAGTTGGAGCCGTGGGTAGATTGGATGGTGCGGGCCACTCGCAAAGCGGAGACGATTTACGAGAAGGCTGGATTCAAATATTTGGATGAAAGCAGAGCCGCAAGCTGGCTCCCCAGACAAGGTTTGATCATTCTGCGAACTGAAGATTGTGGCAGCAAATTGGCGCGCGATCGCAAGGACGACCACGAAGGATGGACACAAAGGACTGCGTGTGTTTTGAGGCAAGAGGTCTCGCCGTGTTATCCAGTGCACAGCCACAGCAGCCCTTCATGGGTGGCGGGGTCCACTCCTTTCTTTACCCGTGCCCAGCCTGGCTGTAAAACGCATTGTGCGGAGCGGGCGGGGAGCGAACCCGAGTTGCGCCATGGGGAGTTCGAGAGCGATTTCAACCAATGCTCTTCGCCACTCCAGGCGGCTCCCGCATGCCAGACCCTAAGATCCCACGTCTCGAAACATTGAAACATCATGAAACATCACGACCAGAGCCCTGGACCCCATCTTTCTTCGCCATCTTTCGAGCCGGATCGATCTGTGGGGGGTCCCGGGGCCCGAAGCTGGGCGAACACGCCCGGATCACAGAGAGAACGCCGCCAGGATCTCAGGGGATTTCACTCGTTTGCTCGCTCGCGCAGGAGGAGGAGGAGGAGGAGGAGGAGGAGGAGGAGGAGGAGGAGGAGGAGGAGGAGGAGGAGGAGGAGGAGGAGGAGGAGGAGGAGGAGGAGGTGTTAACATGCAAGCATGCGTGTGACAGGGGAGGAATAGTAACCCTGCTGCCTTTGGCTCAAGTGTTTAACGGTCGAAGCTACATAGACCTGCTTTGCCGTTCGGGAGTATAAAGGTGACCTATCGTTATCATTGTTGCCAGGCTCCCGTGCAGAACCCTCCTCGGGGTTTTGCATGGTAGCGGAGCGCGGTTGCCATGGCGGCGGCAGCGGCAGCTGCGGCCAGGCCTGGGCAGGGCGACCCGCCAGTTAATCTCAATGTGCCGGCAGACAGAGATGCATGGGTCAACATGGATCCGAATCGCTTCAACGACCTGTGCGAGCAAGCATACCTGAACGGAGACTTCAGTTACGTTCAGACGGCGCTACTCGCGAACCATTTCGCACTCGCAACGTTCATTAACGAGCGAGTGACACAGGATCGAAGGGAGGTATCGAACACCGAAGCATTCCAAATGTTACAGAGCGCCCATAAGACCAACAACATGTTGTTAGCGATCACAAAAAGAAACGCTGCACTCGAAAGGGATGCTCGCAGATTGGTGGAAAGAGTCACCGAGTTGGAGACCAACAGTGAGGTACAAGAAAAGTTGATCGAAAGGTTTGGCCAGCTTTCGGAAGCAATTAAAGGATGAAGTGGAAGCAAGCACGGGAGCGGTAAACCGATAAGCGAATATAAGGCATTACAAGCGCTAAAGAACTTCAGTGGAGAAAGAGCAAAGTTCAGAGACTGGAGCGACAAGTTCTTGAATGCGCTGGCCCAAGTGAAGCCGAGTTACCGACCGGCACTGAAGATGCTAAACAAGAAGTTGGAGACGCTTGACGGAGTCGTACCAGAGGAGGACGATGATGACATCATACGCATAATGAACGGCCGATTAACTGCAAGTGAGTATCTGAAGGCGAATCAAGCCAAACAGGCAGAAGATGACAACAAAGGCGAATACGAGTTTACCGAGGGAGACAAAACTCAGATGGAGGAAGACTTATGGTACATTCTAAACGAGAAGCTTGAAGGTGCAGAAGCCAGAGGAAAATTAAAGGGACTTATGGATGGTGATGGAATCATGGCTTGGCAAAAGGTCTACAAATGGTACTCGGCGGTAACCGGAGCGACCCTATCATCAAAGATGACACGCGCCATGAATCCTGAGCCACCCAAGAAGATTACTGACACTGTTACCCGACTTGAGGAGTGGAGCGCATTGGCAGAAAACCTTGAGAAATACGGTAAAGATTACTCGCTGCCTCTTCCTTGTAAAGTCACCGCACTCAGGGCCATAATGGTGCGCGCGAACGATTGGTTCGACGAATGGCAGCAGGCATGCTGGCGAACGCCCGACGCGCTTAACATTGACTCATTCCAGAAATTGTATTCAAAGTGCGAAGACTGGGCGCGTAAAAAGAAACTCGACTCAGATACGAAACATAAAGATGCGATGGACATTGGGAACATCAACGAGATGGGTCAAGGATCCGAAAATGTTTGGGACCAAACAGGATGGGTTGACGAAGACGGAAACTGGTGGCCAGAAGATGGATCGTGGAATTACGGGTCCTGGGCCAATGAGAGCGACAGTGGTGAATATGAAGAAATTGACGCCGTAAACAAAGGCAAAGGCAAAGGAGCGGGCCCCAGGTGTTACAATTGTGGAGGCATGGGCCATTTAGCCAGAAATTGCACAAGACCTAAACAGTTCACCAAAGGAGGTAAAGGTGGCAAGGGCGGAAAAGGCAAGGGTTACCGGGCCACGTGCGGATCCTATGTGAAAGGTAAGATCGGAGGCAAACAAGGTGGTAAAGGAAGTGGCTCGTGGGGTGGAAGTTATGGAGGCCAAGGAAAATTCACCCCTCATAGCGAGCGTGAGTGTTACAAGTGCGGTGCAAAAGGGCACATCGCCATTAACTGCCCGGGCACCAAGAAGACCGCCAACGAAGTTGAGCAGGAGAAACCTACAGTGAACGCTGAAGGTGAACAAACCACCTCGTTCGGCCAACCGCAGCATGTTCTAAGTGTTGAGATGAAGGAAGCAGTGAACGTGCCGCCAGACCAGCTCGCAACTGAGGAGGTTAACGGGAAATGGGATCTGCCCTATTACGCCAGAAAGAAAATGGCACGTAGCAGCGCGATGAATTTGAAAAGAATTTACCAGGAACACCAATGCGACGGAGATTGTAATCAAGCTAGTCAATGGGACCGGAGAATAAGTAAAAGCATAAAACAGGAAAAAAGTTGGCTGGAGAAGTGCAAGGAAATTGGGCTAATTGAGATGCGGGGCTGTGATCCAGAGATTAACGCGGTGCCACCGCTAAGTGCAACGCGTGAGACGATCGTGGTTACCGTGGACTCTGGCGCATATAATACAGTGGGACCCCCCAAAGTTGGCACCCATTTCCCTATTAAACATACGGACGCGTCAAAGCAGGGACGACATTATAGTGCAGCGAATGGGACTGCGATAAAGAATTATGGTCAACGAGTGATCACAGGTAAAGATGAACATGGGAACGCCGTCAGCATGCCGATCCAGGTAGCAGAAGTCAACGAGGTTCTGGGATCTGTCAGAGAGATGGTAAACGCTGGGAATAGAGTTGTGTTTGACAAGGATCTTAACGGGAGATCCCTGATCCACATCATGAACAAGACAACCGGTAAGTCCACAACAATTTATGAGAAGAATGGCACGTTCCAGTTTAACATTACGGTGCCGAGGGGACCAGCGGAGACTGTCAATCCCAGGAGTGAAGTGAGCGCAGCTGAGGGTTTTCCGCGGCCGGGAACCCTGGGGGCGGATCTATTCTACTAAGCCCCCCATCACCCGTAAGACCAAGCGAAAACTTAAACGTCTTTAATACCGAAGGAGACGAAGGGAGTGAAAGTGGGGGCAACGAGAGTGAGTTGAGTGACGTGGAAGATGTATTTGTGAGTGATGAAGCGGAGTTACCAAATAAAGTTTACTGTGATATGAGGCCCTCAAAGGAGGAAGTTGAGGCGCATGACACGATGCATTTACCTTGCCGAAGCTGGTGCCCACATTGTGTTAGAGGAAAAGCGCGCAGGCGCAGTCACCGTAGACGCAAAAGAGAGGGGAACGGAAACGTGCCAGTGATTTCAATGGACTACATGTGGCTTGAAGGAAGAAAGGAAGAAGGTGAAAGCACCAGCAATGGCAATCCAATTTTAGTCATGCATTGCAGGGGGACCAAATTAACTTGGAGCAGAGTGTTGATGAAAAAGGGAGTGGACTCATACTCGGTAAAGGTGGGATGTGACGTGATCAGTTTTACCGGATACAAGAAGGTGATACTCAAAAGTGATGGAGAATCGGCAATCACGGCGCTGGCCAATAGGATTAAAGCTTCGTGTGATCTT